TGTGTGCCTATCATTACTTGGCTGTGTAGCCGCGTGATGCGGTTCCAGTCGAGACCCACAAATTGGCCCTTGCTCACCATAGAGTCTCCAGTAGCTCAAGTGGTTAGAGCATCCGACTAGATCACGGAGGGTCGTGGGTTCAAATCCCATCTGGGACTCGGATTTTTTTTCCGAGTCCTCCTCAAATTAATATCATGTTGTTGTTGTTTCATCGTTTCCAGTATCATTTGCTTTATTTCGTATTTTATATATGATAATTATACTAGCTGACAATTGTAAGATTGGTTCAGTTTATTTGGTTGGATTATATGTAGTAGTAATGCTTGAATTACTGTGAAAAGGCAAGCACAGTCGAACCTCCACTAGCGGCCACCTCTCGACAACGGCCAGTTTTTTTTTAGCCGGACAGTCCATACATTCGCTCTTGTTTCAACCTGTCTACACTGGCCACTTTCTTCTGCCCACAAGGTGACCCTTGTAGAGAGGTTCAACTGAATGCGTATTATTTGTCATTCCCTTCAATCCTCAGTGTTGTCCTTCTGTAGGAGGAAAAACAAAATGTAACAAATTAGAACAAAGAACATGTGTTTTCTGCGTTATGTATTTAATAGTTCTTGGCCTTATTGTCGTAACTGAACGTGATGTGCTTTCTTTAACCGTATCAGTAAGTAGTTCTCACACTGTGTCATTTCAAGGATTTGAGTTTTTTACGGCAGCTTTGTCAGTATGTGGTAGACCTTTAGTTAATCTTTCCTTGTTTACCAGTGATCCAGGTCTAAGTGCAGCAGTTAACGATCAAGCTCTGACTCCTTTACTTACTTGATGCAAGAAGGGATGTTAGAATATTCAAATATGCTCAAAGTTTGACGAAGAAGAAAGAAACAAAATTTGTCCATTTCCCTCCACGCGACACTCTCCTCGAGGAAGGCAATTTCAACAATTCACGTCTGCACACTCGCGTTTTGACTCGTACTACCCTCAAGAAAAAATATGGAGTTACATTTCTATTCTAAAAACTTAAATCTGCACATAATTTATCAACCTTAGAAAATTGCTGATTTTCCTTCCATCTACTCTTCTTTTCCAGTAAATCTCAGCGCATAGCGCAAAGAATGCCAAAAATGTTCCAGCGATGAGCACAAAGTAAACCCCCAGCATGCTGGACAGATCAATCTGCTTCCGGCCCAATGCTGCAAGGAAGGGAAAAGATGAGTTTTTTAGATGAGTTTCTTATTACTCTAAAAAGTGCTACATGTAACTGCAGAGCCGTATTTCTTAGCAGCTGTTCGCCTAGCCACATATTGAGCATAGAATAACAAAGAAAACGAAGATCGATTAGATTTGCATGACATTCAGATGGCCAAATGTACGCCAAGTGAAGAACTTTGCTTCGAGCTCTGCGGATATCATGGCGACGAAACTCTTGAAATTACAAAATGCAATACTTATTTCTTACTTGTATCTTCTTCTTGGGGGCAGTTACTTGTGACATGCCACCATTTTCGTCTTAATCCCTCAAGAAAACCATTTTCTTGAAGACGCAAAATCGCCAATGTGAATTCCCGGGTAAAAGGAGAGTTATGTTGTAGAGCGAATGCCATTCCTTTTGCTGTGCTTAAACCTGCAACTGTTTCAAAGAAATATCCTAGGGTCTGAAACTGCCCAAAATTTTAATTTAAATTAAAGTACCCGGTTTCACTTTACGCGGCTTTCTTTTTCTCCGAAACTTATAAAGAAGAAACATTGAAGAAGCATGGTCACCCAGTATCGACGTACAGAATATAAGGGTGCCCACTTGGTGTCAGAGACATACTATACTGTTTGGGGTAGCCATTAACAGTCGTCTTGTATCTCTTAAACCGTAGAATTAGAGAAGGCCCCCCCCCCAAAACCTCACCCCACCTCACAGAATGGAAATAAAAGTGAATTTTTTTGTTATTTATTTAGTTTTTTTTTTTATCTTACTTGGATTGTTCAAAGACTAAACCTTTGGTGAATTCAGTTTTTACCAAATTCGTCATTTCTTTTTTTGTGTGCATTTCTGGACATATGTTATTTCTACCCATGAAGGTAGGAGAGGACGAGTTCATAATTGCTCGTTCAGGGTCGTGTGCGTAGAGAAACTAATCTGTACATAATATAATAGCAAAACGTTTTCATACTGTGTCGGATTATGGTACGAGACGTGCCCAAATTGGTCTTCTTGAGGGGTTTCATTCTAATCTTCCGATGTGCATCCCTACCTTAGCTCTTCTCAACAACTCTAGAGTCTCCAAGTCTGGGGTCTATTTAGTAAAACTTTTACAAGTGTAACTTACTAGTTTAGCTATTGTTTTTAGAGTCTAACACTTGTAATACTTGTAAATTACAATTGTAAAAGTTTTATTAAATAGACCCCTGGACGCACCATTTATGACAAACAGAGCTCTTAGTCTTTGGGAACAGAATCAAAGTAAAGCGAAAGAGGTTGCGATATCATAGTACTCTCTAAAAACACAGCTTATTACCTAGCTTTAGATCACAAGGTGGCTGGTTGACGTAGTACCTAAGCGATGGACCTCCGCTTATGAACACAAATTTTTCTCGATCTCTGACCCACTGAATACCTTCCGATCTATTTTTAGGCAAGTTGTCTCCTGAAATAATTCGTTGCCAAATGATTTGGTGTATTTCATACTGACTTGTCCTAAATGCCTCAGAAACACTTGAGGATCTAAGTACTCCCACTTGGTAGTCTGATTTGGCAATGTCTTCAAGGTTTTTGACGGGACTTTCAGCGTTCTTCACAGTGAGGAAGGCTGCCAGATTGGCGGTGTATGTTGAGATCCAGATAAGAATACAAAACCAATAGCAGCCAGCGAGAATACGACCTAAAGGTAAGTAAAACTTCCCCAATTACAACGTACAGTGATAAAAGCTTTTCGTACAGACCGAAAAACGTTCCTTAGCATTAGTATTTGCTTATCACAACACTTTATAACATTTAGAGGCACTATTGAAGTTGTACCATGTAGAATTTCTCCCAAGTTTCACCTCATGCCTTTTTTCCCATGATTTAACACCGTTCAAGTTCTAAAAGTTAGCTAAGGCTAGGCATAAAGATATGAGGAATTACACAGATAATATAGGGTGTTTTATGAGGGGAAGTGGAGGGCTAAGGTGGACAAAACCTTCCGAAATCTGCATAATTCTTCATATTATCAAACGAAAGCTGATCCTTAAACGTTAGAATTACTCTAGACGTATATACTAACCCGACAAGTTTCGAGGCGTGTTATCACCACCTTGTTGTAGCATGCATGCCAATGCAAACCACGTACTGTTGAAAAAGCTGAACTCTTCTGACGTCCCCTTACCATTCGCGTCCTTGTGACCATATGGACTGAGGTAGTTTATGACAAAAACAGCAACAGAGATGAGAATGAGTGTGGCCAGAGTACAAAACCAAACATGATCATGAAAAGGGCTCATGAATTGTAGCAAATCCGATTTTTCTTTGGAATACGTTTTCTTTAATAAGATTTCATCTGTGTAAAACATGAAGGCAACTGTGAAGTCCACCACATTTTCTCGAGCCTCAGTCACAGTCAGCGAACTTACTGCCAAATCAGCTCTCTTTGAGTGAAAAGAAAAAATTAAATACGTTACTAGATTTAAAAGGAAAGTCTCATTCAATTAACCTAATAATAATAATAATGATAATAATAATAATAATAATAATTTAATATTTATATTGAGCAAAATACATGTAAATATGATCAAATGCGCATTACATGAAAGTAAATTATCAACATTAATAAGTTATCCAAAATAACTAAAAATATTATACAAAAAAAACGATGGATCTATAAAAATATAATATATACATAATCCTAAAAAAAAAATTCCTAATAAAAAGCTAATCTAAAAAAATGTGTCTTAAGTAAACCTTTAAACCTATTAAAATTGGGCTCATTTCGTATTTGTGATGGTAACCCATCCCACAGTTTAGGTGCCACAGCTAAAAAAGCACGGTCACCCAATGTCTTTTTAGTTAAAGTTCTTGGCGTTTGAAGCATGACCTGGATCAGAATCTACAAAACCTGTATTCAAACTTTATCAATGGGTTTTTAAAGTTTCGCCAGCTTTTTTAAAATCTTCTAAATTCTATACAATATCCATTTTGAACTGTTCATTAGACACAACTACGTATCACGTTAAGGTTTGAGCAGACATTCCATTCCTTTCAGGATCATTACTCTTTCAGCTCTCTTACGAAACTACGACAATCTTAAACAAATTGATTTATTTAAATTACAAACCCCTTTAATTATCTCTCCAATCATTCCATTCCAGGTTCCATTTTCCGTTTCGGCACCAAACAAACCATCTGGGGCTCGATATATCTCGTATGTAAACTTAAAAACTCTTGAAAGTTCATTTAAAAGATCAATAGAATATCCTTCGTATGACTTAGCGCCACCATCCTCTTTTTTTACCATGACAAATGGGGGATCACTCTGTGTTGGGAAAAATATGTATGAGTATCAGCCGTATACTTAACAATTATTCCTTGAGCCCGAATGGGCTCTGAGTCAATAACCCATGAGGCCGAAAGCCGTATGGGCTATTGACTCAGAGGCCATGAGGGCGAGAGGAATAATAGTTTTAGTAAAATCCAACTAGTTGGTCAAAAATATCGAGAATAAAAAACTTTTAGCTAGTTAAAGCTAGGCTTTAATCCTTTTTTGCCGCCAAAAAGCCCGTGCTTTTCGCTACTAGTGGACTATAACATATAGCCTAGTAGTAGCTCAACCAATCAGAACTCATCATTGATAATAGACCACTAGTTGGATTTTACTAAATATCAATATTGCTGATGTACAAAACCAATATTAATTCAGTCATCATATATCAATAAAAATCTCTAAAGAGTAGTAGATAGAAAGATTAACTAACCATTTATATTTTCGTATCATTAACAGATTACAATTCTCTCTGGTGATATCAACCTACATTAAAACGGGCAACAATAACAAGCAAGTTGTTTTGCAACTTCAGGCCTGCAACATCAAACCTGTTTTGTAAAAAATCAGGTTGCAGCAATCTGATTTATTACAAGACAGGTTTGATTCGTGGGTGGTAAAACGCGCAACATTGCTTCCTAACTCGTTTTGAGACAATGTTGCAACTTCAAGTTGCACGTTCTTGTTCCCTTTTTTTCTTTCCTTTACTATACATAACAAAAACAACAACTTGTATTTAAACGCCGTTTAAATTAGAGCTAATAGAGTTTACGGTACAGTCTACATATAAATTAGAAACATGCTAATTAAAAGGCATTAAATTATACTACAATGAAATTAAGTACCTTAAATTATAGTTTAATGTAAGACATTAAAAGTTAAGGCAACTTTCGGGAATTAGCTCTTGAACGCCATTTCCTTTGAGTTCAACATAACATTTCTCGAAAATTTCGTAAACCAGAGCTTCTTCTTTTACCTCCAATAGTACCACTTGCAACTGTTTTCCTTCCACAGTTTCTCCAGAAGATGGAGTTATCCTGTTACTTAAGATATCCCCAGACATCATGGCACCTTGGGTTGAATTCCAAGTGCCTATCTGTGGAAAAGAAAGCCAAGTGGAAAGTGCTTCACCTTGTGCAAAAGTAGTGGTCAGAAGCGCAGAGTGTTATGAAGTGGAAAAAATGAAACTGAAAGAGACTGATAATATGACTTAGACGCTTGAGATTAAGTGACAGACATGAAAGAGTTTCCGGTTCAGAAGCGAAAGAAAACCACTGACAGGTCTTACATTAGCAGAATTTGTTACTCAAATAGAAAAGAAAAAAAAAAGGTGAAATAGTGATGGTGTACACATACCTTTTGAAATGAATTGTTCTGCAAGTTTAAAATTTCCAAGTGAATTTCTTTCCGATATCCATCCTCTGTAAACTGGACAGGCCCTGTCATACCGTTTTGCCAATTAACCTGACCAACAAAAGAAAAAAACAAAACACAGAAAACAAAACATGCTAAATTATTATCTTCTTTGGCTGAGCCTTACTAAAAACAATGTAAGGTTGATGTGAAAAGAGCTAAAATGAAAGGCTCCGTTTATTTTTGTTATATATAGCATACTTGTAAATACCTTTCTTAGGCAAGCCAATATTGTTTGTCGATCTTGTAGAACAGTGGAAGTCCCGTTAATAGACAAGCAGGGTGCTTCGTTTAGCGCTTGATTTAGAACTTTGACTGAGTCGTAAGCAAGGGCAAGGACGTCCTCCTAGAGAAATTAAACATTTACAACATTTAATTTTCGTTTCTTTACACAGTTTCAAAAAAGTAAAACAAGCAAGTTGAATTTATTAAACATTTACAATATTTAATTTTCGTTTATTTTCACGGTTGCAAAAAAGTAAAACAAACAAGTTGAATTTATTAATTGAAATTGGGTGGCAACTGAATATGAAGAACGATCCTTGCAAACTTCCGAATGAAATGAGATATTATCAGGACACTAGCTCAATGGATGCAAAACACACACCTTGTAAGAATCATCGTAATTTTTCTCCATAAACGTTTCCAGGCCCTCAGGAGCATGGCTTTTAATATACGGAAGCCCCATTGCAACAACAACATTGTTTGGATGACAGGTTACGTTTTTCGGTACCTGCAGAGAATAAAATGAATTCTTTAATGTAATAATTAAAATACTAAAAGTATCCAGGCTCTTAATTTATAACAGTACCTCTCCTTGAAGTATCCATTTATAGCCCCTTTTACATTTGCATGGTCGCTGTATTAATAAAGGAAAACGGGAAGCAGAATGACTAAGTCTTACAACCAATGAAATCCAATCTTAAAATTTTATACAAGAGGGAATTATAGCTATGAATGACAGAGTGAGAGAGGGTAGATCATGTCGATTAAGCCAGGATTGCCAGAAAACTAGGTTCTCTATCTGCTATCTCTGAGTCAGAATAAAGGTCTAAAGATGAAATCGTTGAAAACTGAATTTTATCGAAAATTATATATAAAAGATATTTAATTCTTAGTTGTGGAGTTGTATGGTATTGCAGTTAGAAAAAAGAAAGAAAAACAGAAAGAAAGAAAGAAGGAAAGAAAAAACAGTATTTCCCTCTGTTTCGACGACAGGGCTTCAGTTGCAAGACTCTTACAAACAACAACAACAGCAACAATAACAAAAAGGGTTCCTAAAAGAACACCACTAAAGCAGTTTTCAGCTGTCATCTTAAACATGAAATGTGTTTAATTATCTCTCGTACCTGTTGCAGCATGAAGTCAATATTTTCGTTATTGGTGTAGAGTAGTATGATGTCGGGCTCGATACCTTTAATTTCTTCCATTACGTCCAATATTCGCGCAATTCTGTCAACATCAATTCCTTTTGTTTGAAGGTGAAAAAAATTCACCTTTAGCTGTAATTTCTGGGATGCTGCGTGGAAATAGCCAGCTTCACGCAAACGGCTCTCTAAAAAAGTTTTAAATATGTTAGATTACGATCTTGTAAAAGAGAATTAATTTAGGTAGTTATTTTTTTCTTATGCTCTGTTGGTGAAATAGGTTTTTTTTAATACAACCTTTGAAATCGGGGTGGGGTCCCATGCGGCACTCCTAATGGCTTCTGATTTTGTCCCCAACGCATAACTTTATACATGAACATGGTATCTCCCCCTCATAAGTATAACAGTAATAGTTACAATGATTGTCAAGAACACTCACCGTCAAAAACTAGTGCGATATTGTCCCACCGGAACTTAGCTAGTATGTCAAGTGACGCATGCGCGTAATTTCTGTAGCCTACTGTCATGTGTACTGCATTTTCACATTGATCATTTAACCTGGTGTTTCCATGGAGACGGATAAGTGGAACGCCGGTTACTGTAGATATTGCGCATGCAGGTAAGTTTGCTTGGCTTCCTTCGATAAGTGCAACAACTTTTGCTTGACAAAGCTCTAAATTTGAAGGAATAAATACAATATGTACTAAAACACTTGTTACTATACTTAGGCTTTTGTACCTAAGGCGTTCCTTTACCTACTAAAATGCTCCGCCTTAATTTTCCATTTTTCTCACTAAAATGCCCTGTCTCCTCCTAAAAGAGCTCAAAAGGTCAAAAAATGCTCAGTAATGCCCATCATAGCGCTACCAAAACGTATATTAAGTGGTATAACCACAACGTCAATACAGCAAAAGATAATGCTCTAAACAGCTGTTTTACGTAGGGTGGCATATGAATCTTGTTTTTTGAAATTTGACATAAAGAGTACATTTTCTCGTAAAAATATCTTCTTTTTATTTGTTCAATTTCTTTTATTTGTTCAATTTCTTAAATTAATACTTTTCACACTAAAATGCTCGAGAAAAATTGCTAGCATAATGTACAAAAGTCTAAGTTTTTTTCTTCTGAGGGGAAAGGGATAAAGATTCTCCTCAGAGTTTACATTTCGACTGGTATAAATTTACGGACAAGTAATTATATAATTATATTTTTTATTGTTGTCATAGAAATAAAGGGGTGTAAAAAAGGTTACCTGCCTTACCTTGTTGGCATAGATCTATCTTTTCTGATTGATTATACATTTTGACGATCATAGTAATGTTGTAAAACCTAGAAGTTTTATTTACTGCAAAGTTTAGTGCATCATAATCTGCCAAATATCCATTAACAACACCTGTGGAAGAAAGAACAAAACACCCTACAACCTTAATGTCTTGTCTGTTCGTTTTCTGTATTTTGCAAACAACAAATTAAAATACCTTTTCAGTGTTGTTAGAGATCTTTTAGTGAATAATTAAATTCCCTGAAGTGAATGTCTTTTACTAATTTTTTTACGTGAGATCAAATTTCTACTTTTGATTTAGAGGGGAATATATCACACAACCCGGACTCAAAGTCAACTGTCTGAAAAGCTGGGAATTATTTTGATTGTTTGAAGGAAGGGGGAGGCTAATTAATAGCTAATTAAAACGTCGAGCCGGTTATGTGCCTCAGCATATTTTAATGATAACCCTCGGCACTTAAATTTGTTCTTCACGATTTAATATCATATAGGATCATATACTCACATAACCTGCTTACCTAAGGAAAACACTCTATTTTCCATACGTGCGCCTTTTACCAGCAAGAACAAAATAATGATCAAACTTAAGGCAGCTTTCCTTTTCATCTTAATTTTCTAGATGGGGAAATGTAATAAGGAAGGAAATGGTAAAATTTTATCATTTTTAGAAAGAATAGTTAAGGTAGGAGATGTCGCAGTTCTACTTTTAACGTCGATAACATTACGATTCCAGGGGTACTTTTATGTGAAGGGTACGGAGATACTCGAAAAACCTCACATCTAGTCTGTTGTACGCCATTACGCATCAGTTTCTACCAGTAAGTTCAACCCCACGGACCAGTTCTCTCTCTCTCTCTCCCCCCCCCCCCCCCTCCCCCTTTGGTGCCATACACTTTTTTTTTATACTTCCCCACAACTTTTTTCTCTCTCGGGGTTTTTCTCTTTTCTCGTAATACTGAACCATACATTTTTTACGTGTCTAAATATTCATACAATCCACCTTACAGGTTTCTTTTGTTCGGGAGGGCACGAGATACTCCCAAACCCCCCCACCTTGTCTTCTTTCGCCCCTTTTCCCCCCGTTTTTCCCCCCATATCTCCCCCCCCCCCCCCCTTTTCTCTCTCTCTTCCCCCCCCCCCCCCGATCCGCCTTTGAAGAGACTAAGATTTTTTTAAATTCTGCGCAATATATTTTGCTCACTGGGGTATTTTCTTATTTACCGTCATGCTGTCAGATAATTATTTTAAGTTTTCAAACAATGGTGAAGTTAAAGGTCTCATTTTCGATTATATTTGTCTGCGTGAATGAATTTTAAAATTGCTAAACGGCTGTTTTTAAGGTCATCCAATGTGGGAATACTTGATGTTTATTCCGTTTTGTTATCCCACACTTGACTGGTCAAAAAAGAAAATCTTGGAAATAATAAGGAGCAATGTTTGATGTACATGTATTACGACGATTGAAAGCGTTTGTTTGGCAAAAACCTCATATTACATTCTGTAAATACAAAATGTAATTATATAACGTCAAGTCACTACTAATTTGTCAACACCTATCTGGATAGTAAGCTTAATTTTGTTCCTTAACTAGATTGGTTAGGTTATCATCGTCCTCACCTTCTCGGCGTCTCTTTTTCTAATTCACCAGTGACTGAGCTGAACTCAAAATTATCTGACCACAGACATACCCTGTCATTTGAACCAGGGCATCGCCAATTGTATCACAGAAGCTTTGATAAAACTCATTCCCTGTGGTAGAAATAAGTCTTCTAACCAACGTTTGGTAGACGATCTAACGCCTGATTCACTGTGTTATGATTATGATTGTACGGTTATGATTAAAGGTACAAATCTTTATTTACAAGAGATTTTTAACTTCAATTTTTAAAGTGAAAAAAAAAACAAAAGAAAGAAAATTACGAAGCAAGAAAGACTTAATTTACCTTACTGCATTTGACGTTTCATTAAAGAAAGTAGTGTATTTTTAATTTCGAATAATACTTACTTGTAATTTTGTGAGCATAAACTGAAGAGTAATGCGTCCAAGTTTTGCGCAAGTAATTTTCAGCCTGCTTCAGCCTTGCTAGTGGTACCTGTTCAATCCCAATGAAGTAAGCCACCCGCTCGAAATTAATCCATTGTCCTAGCCCTTAGGTTGCCAGGAACGAAATGTCAAAGTCAAAAAATTTTCACTAGACGACTTTGAATAGTAAAACTACGGGATAGTAAACAGGAACGCCCCTGAAGAAAGTCTATCACAGAAATAGTGACTTGAAAGGATTGTGAATTTGAGTTTCACTCGGCCATAAAATAGATAGCTCAGTCTGTAGACGCAAATGGGTAATTAAAAGTAAAACAAGAAAAAACAACAACAACAAAAAAACAAAACAAAAAAAAAGGCCTTGCTTTGATGCACGGTTGCAAAATAACTCTGTTGGAGTTCCGGTCTCAAGCAGCTCATAAAGGGTTCTATTCTGGTAAATTTCATTATTATCAAGCAAAGAAATTTAAAAATTTATGAAATGAAATTAGCCCAATATGATTCCAAAAAATGTTAGTTACTTCTTACTTCGAACTGATATATTAAGCCTCTCAAATTTAAAATGCAAAAAATCCTTCTAGAAAGAAAAAAAGTTGTTCAAAGCAAAAATAAATAAAGAAATTTTATCTGCGCTTGACAAAACAGACTCTGATTCTAGATAAAAATGTTACCTTATGCTTCATGTTCCTTTAGATATAATTATTGAGTCAGTTATTGCTGTTGGCGGAGTCTCACTTTGGGTGAGCTCTGTTTGCTGGGCTACCAAAATAATCATGACGATTCCAGTTTGGGATAAATTTGCCCATAAGAGTGGCCGTTTAAGCATATAAAGATAGGAAAATCCAGATACACATGAAGATCATCCCAGCAAAGGAGAGGACACACCAGCCATCCGGGAGATGAAAGTGAAGCAAAAGGGGAGGGAAGGGAGGGTAAAAATGTTCTCTTGTTGCACTGAACAGAGAGTCTTTGTGCCTCGCTTTCATGTCTTAAAAATACACATAATGTCCCGGATTACAGGGATGCCCCCTTACTTGCAGCTGGAGAAATGACATATCAATCAGTCACGTTAAGCATAAAACCATTTATTTCTTTCAGAAATAAAATATGTTTTCAGCGTAGTAGCAAATGACAATTTCTCATGATAAAAAAAATTGCTTTTACTGATTCATAGAGAGCTTAAGCAAAGACTTTGAGCGACGTCGTCAACTGAGGTATTTTCCCTTTTGACATAAACGCCTGCAAATTGTCGTACTGTAAGTAGTTTTATAGGTAAAGATAAGATTTGCCAGAAAATGTGGGTAAAACCATGGCCCAAAGATGCAAAACGTCCACTCCAGATGACGTGCTTCGCTCAAAAACGTGATCAATCAATCAATCAATCAATCAATCAATCAATCAATCAATCAATCAATCAATCAATCAATCAATTTATTAACGTCAATACGTGGGATGGGGTTGCCCCGATCATCCGTGCAAGCCCTTTCGTCCTAACAAGATGTCTACACAAGGAGATTCGTTATAACAGAGTGAGTGCACCATAAAGATGAGTAGTGTTAAGCACTGACAATGGTGATTGTAGAATCCATTAAAAAAGGTGTTCCTTTAAACAAAGCAATATAACATGGTAATATAAGGAATAACTTTAAAAAATTAAAAAAAGTAGCTTATGACATGGTTAATAATCCTTCAGGCATTGCCAGGAGGTGGATCTTTTCAGGGTGAGAGACAACTGTCACATGGCCAGCAATGTTTGGCTTCATGCAGGAGGGTGAGGCTCCCACATGAATGGGATTGGGAAGCTGTCGGAAAATTAGAATCAAACCCCAAACGAGAACAATTTGGGCCTGGCTCACGCTTTATTTGACCACAAAGGTGACGATAATAAAAAAGACGACCAAATATTCAGGCTTTTAATTATTGATTTCATTTGCACTGAAGATGTTGACATCGAATGCTGTCTTTAGCACAGATGACCCCCCAGCTTTTGCTTTAGTTTTGTTTGTCTTTATTTTTCAGTGTAGAATTCAGCCTGAGTGATAGTTGTAAAAGTCTAATATACCTATCTGGTCCTGAATACCATAAGGAGACCGAAACCAGGAACTCATAATTACAGTTCTAAGCAGGACTATCAGCATCCCTTTCTCCTGTTTCTTGCGTTCGATAAGCCAGAAAATCATACTATAAAACTAAAAAGGCTGACAAAAAGTAGAGCGGAGAGAGTAAAAAGGACATTTACAGTCGGGTTGGATTTCGAGAGAATGTAAGAGCTTTCTTTCCTCAGGGACAAAGCAAACCTTTCGTAATAATGGGGTGCTCGTATTAAGCGGGTTGGATTTCGAGAGAATGTAAGGGCTTTCTTTCGTCAGGAACAAAGCAAAGCGTTCGTAATAATGGGGTGCTCGTATTAAGCGGGTTGGATTTCGAGAGAATGTAAGGGCTTTCTTTCCTCAGGGACAAAGCAAACCGTTCGTAATAATGGGGTGCTCAGTTTTTGTGCTCGTATTAAGCGAGTTGGATTTCGAGAGAATGTAAGAGCTTTCTTTCCTCAGGGACAAAGCAAACCGTTCGTAATAATGCGGTGCTCGTATTAAGCGGGTTGGATTTCGAGAGAATGTAAGGGCTTTCTTTCGTCAGGAACAAAGCAAACCGTTCTTAATAATGAGGTGTTAGTATTAAGCGGGTGTCCGTAAAGCGGGATCTGACCGCATTTTGTCATGCTTGGTGTTGGTAGGTTTTTGTGGTTAAGAGGCATCACGTCATAGATAGCATTGTATGCAACCTAAAAAATAGTTTATCTTAAAGCTTGAATGATGTTGCAGACCTTATCTGTTGCCCAGGGGGGACTCCCATGTGGAAGTGACGAGGATGCTCGTCGGAAAATACAAACTAGACCCGTAAGGGAAACCAATGTGGGTCTGGCTCAAGCTTGAACTGACCCCTAAGGGAGATTCACCTGTGTGGTCTGTGACCAGGCATTTTTTGTAAATTTCTTTATGCGCAGTACTAAGCGATACCTGAATGGGCAAATATAGTGACTTTCCATCCCAAACACCCTACGTGAGACCAAAATCTGCAATTTATTCCACAAAGCGAGACGACGAGCATCCCCGTCATTTTTATATGGGAGTCCCCTCCTGGAATATGTTGTCGGTGCATCAGTCAATCCTTTTCGGTCAAAATTCTATCCAAAAATCCATCTTGGACACTTTATGATGTCTACACAAGGAGTTTCCATATAATAGAGTGAGCACACAATAGTGATTAGTGTTAAGCACTGACAATAGTGATTGCAGAATCTATTAAAGCAGGTGCACCTTAGCCTACGAAAACATCCTTTTCTCCTCGCTCTTCGCCCCTTGGGACGTTTCGCGCGGAGAAACGTCTGCGACTCAGCGACAGAAATTCCGTACTGATGACGTAAAATCTGTCCGGAATCCGGTCAGAAGCGCTGATTGGTCGACGGAGTAGTTAAATTTTTTTAGCTATTGTTTACAAATGACAGACAAAAGACAAAAGGCCACAAAGGTCAAATGCAAACGCGAAGAATCTCTAACAAAACAGTCAATATTTGTGGAGAAGAGTTTTCTCTAGAAGAAGCATTTGAGTTTTGCTGGAGTTCGAGAGACACGTAAAATTAGACAAATTTGTATTTGGAACCCCATGACTACCGGATTTATTATGTAAACATGGATTTGTGTCATCAGTATGGAATTTCTGTCGCTGAGTCGCAGACGTTCCTCCGCGCGAAACATCCCCAGGGGCGAAGAGCGAGGAGAAACGGATGTTCTCGCAGGCTAGGTGCACCTCAGCAATATAATATGGTAATATAAGGAATAATTTTAAAATATAGTATGACATGGCTAATAATCCTTCAGGCATCACTAGAGGTGTATCTTTTATCAGTAAGAGTCAACTTTTACTTGGCCAGCAGTGTTTGGCTTGATACTGTTCCGTTTGCTCTGCCAAGAACTGGCAAATCTAACGAGATAAATAGAGATAGATAAAATAAATAGCCTGCGAACGATGATGTGAAACGTTTGCATTACAGGTGTTACCCCTATCACATGCGGTCTTGTATTTTTTGCCCAAAGGAAAGTGTTATCGTGGCTTTCAGTTCCTCGAAAACGTACATAACATAGCTAATTCTTTGTGAAATCTTAAATAGAGTAAAAGAGAATGGCCAGTTAACTCGAAATTAATCCTTTGGCATATGTTATTTACTGTTAGCCACTTTGTCATTAGAATTGGTATCTTTTTCTGTGAAGGAAAGTATTTTTTGCCAACTCAATATGAACGTGCTTTTACTCCCGGAGTGAGACTTTTATCAGAGAAGAACTGGAGGCCAAACCTGCTAACAAAGCTACCACACCCAAACCCATGATATGGCACCCACAATCTTCGCACCGATTCTTCAGATCTGTACACCGGGCCATTTTTCTTATGAGCCCATGCCATGTATCAGGAGCAAACTGATCCCCTGGGATTCAATCGACCGTAAGTCTGATCAATTATCGTGCATGCTCACCACTGCGTTCTTAGCAGTCCATGCACCTTGCTGAAGTTCCCCTAACGTAACAGAGACTCGTCTCTCTTCCTCTATCCTCTTAAGATCAATAGTCACCAATTTCACTTTCATTTCTTCTCTACCCTGGCACCCTGAATAGTGTTCCAGTACAAGCAATCAGGGAATCCTGGCATCCAGCCTTCTTGACAGATGTGCGGAGGATTAAGCCATTCTGATTCACTCCTTGCCAAGAGACTGAATAAAATCTTACTCTCCACATTCAGGACTAACATTGGCCTGAACTTCTGGAAATTCTAAGACATTTTTTTTATTTCACTCACCTTCGAAATTTGTTAAAAACTTTCTCTTTCAGCCCCTTTTTCCATTGAATCTCGGCCATCAGCGTGATAAATGCTAACACTATCCCTACAATTAGAACAATGTACACACCCAGCATACTTTTAACATCAATTTGCTTCTGGGACAAAACTGAAATGAAACAGAAAAAAGCCAAGAAGTTAAACACTTTACTATTTGAAATCAACAGCTCTATTAACTCTATTTGCACGTGCAAAAAGTTACAAAAGAACTACCCCGTTCATTTCGCCAAAAAATAAACGAGTAACGTGATTTCATGCAAAAAAAAAAAAATGTCATGTGACGGTCCAGTAACTAGTGTTATTGTTATTTTGCCGTCAAACCTTAGGGTAATGGATTCATGATAACGTTAGGCCTATACTCCGATGCTATTGCTTTGTTTAAAGATGGAAAAGATATTTTTGTCCTGGAATAAAATAGTCCGATAGAGAATTTGAACGTTCTTACGTGTATTTTCTTCCTGTGAGCAAGTATCCGATGTTTGCCACCATTTGCGATAAAGATCCTCGAGGAAATGATTTTCTTGAAGACGTAGAATTGCCAGCGTAAAGTTAATGGTACGGGAATCATTGGGTTGAAGGGCGAATGCAAGTCCGTAGGGTGAACTTAGACCTGGAACTAATAAGAAAAGAGATGTTTATAACCCTTGCTCGCTTGCTAATAAGCCCCGTACTGTACAATATGGATTGCTAAGGGTGAGATCTGTTTGCGGGGAGAAATGAACGGACACCATTATGGCCAAGGAAATGATTTAGATAATGTGATGGGTAAGTGAAGTATCTTTTTTAAACTTTTGGACTTTTAAATAAACTGCATAACCCATGAACTGAAACACGTGCTAATGCAATGATATTTCGGGTGGCCAAGCTATAACCAATGCAATACATGCAGATTGCGCAAGGTTATATTTTCCAAAGCTATGACATAAAGGTTACATTAGATAAGATAATGACATAAAGACTGAAAAAAACACTCGTACGAGATAAATTCGGAACAAGTCAACTTGTTCAATGTGACAGTTAATAACATGGAAATAAAGCATTGTTCTATTGGTGGAGAAGAAGTAGATAGACTATAATTATATAGCATTGTAATTAGCTGACTGAGGGCAAAAATTTCTTTTAACTTATTGGGATCAGCAGTGTTACGTGTAAGAGGCTCTAGAAAGCCAAACATAAGTTGAACTCTGATTTTCGCTGGGCAGAAATCTCAAATGTATAATTGGAAAGATAAAGTAGACACGTTCTATTTTTTTCAATCATTTCATAGAACAGTTTTAGACCAAGCCTAGGGCTTTTAATATTTTTTAAAATAGATTTTTATCAATGAATTTGTAATAACTTTTATCAATGCTTATATACTGTAATCCTTTATTGGATAATGTTTGTAATAAAGTTGTTGTCATTTATTCTATTGTATATTTTTAACAATGGTAATGATAATGATAATGATCGTGATAATGATAATGGATAATGATGATGATGATAATGATAATAATAATAGCAACAGGTCTGAAGAAAGAAAGAGACACATGCACAATAATCTTGATAAATTCGTGATCAAATATGTACAAATATATATGTAAATATATATTGTATGTATAAAATATTGTATGTATAAAAGGCCTATTTCTGATTATTTGTTTTCATCCCCGATAACTCGAACTTGCAATGTATGGAACTCGAACCCATAATATTTACCCTGAAGAATCGAGATATTGAGGGCCGTTATTAATTACTGTGCATATATATATACATGAACTGTATGTGCGCAGTTTCAGTTCACTGGGTATCCCAAAACATGCGTCATGTACTTAACATCCGCTGATTATGGCTTGTATTTTAACATTAACGATCGATATTTCATCCAGCTACACATAGGTCTCCAGGGTAACTGGCGGAACACTAGGGTGCAGGAGTGTTTGCCTGAGAAGCCGCTGCGAAAATAAGGTCGCTCAACTTGACTTGTCCTTTTTACAGGGCTTTACAGCCTAAGTCAAACCAAACCAGAAAACAGAAGTATTGTGAAATGAGGCAGACAAACGCGATTAACATTGCCAGGCACACAGGCTACACAGATGATACCACTGACCCTTTATGAGATTATTATTTAACTGTTTGTCATCAACAACAACGTAACAACCATATGATTTTTAACTACTTTTGACTACGTATTTGTTAACTAAAGGTGTGAAGAAAATACCTGTTGTAAGATCACAAGGAGGTTGCTTGGCCATATGCCGGAGAAAAGGACCATCAGTAATGAAGACAAAGTTTTCTCTTTCTCTGACCCATTGAACACCCTCAGTTCCATTTTTTGGGAAACTGTTCCCAGCTTCCATTCTACGCCATATTTTCTGGAGTGTTGGGTCTTGACTTTCTTTAAAGTATTCATATTCGGTGGTTGAGGGAATAACTCCGAGTTCATAATTTGACTTTGCAAGGTCTTCAAGGCTGTTGATGGGACTCTCGGCATTTTTGACGGTTAAGAAGGCGGCGAGATTGGCAGTGTAGGTAGAGACCCAGATCAAAATACAAAACCAGTAACATCCAGCTAGAATGCGGCCTTTATTGAAATAAATAGGCACAGACAAGTAAAATAATGGATAAGAAAGGTAATGGCCGGAAAGTTCCCGGCAGAGCAATTATGTATGTTGCTAGATTTTTTTTCTGAAAAGTGAATTTCCTGCAAAAAATTAATCCTATTATTTTAAAATTGTTAGATTAAGGCTGCCACTGGAACAAAAAATTCAATACATTCACCGAAATACAAATCTACACCATTACCGATTATAATACAACAAAAGTAAAGCGCGCGGTCTAATTGGTCAATGATCATCTACCGTTTGCACATTATTAGTTTGGTTAAACTGCTACGTTATAAAACGCAAATGAAGAAGAAAGAATTGCTAACTCTAACGCTTCTTCCTTGCAACCTTCCGAGCAGCTATTTGACAAAGAGACTCTATGTTGTCGTGCGTCTGTTCAGTAATAGAGCATTAGATAATGTCAAAATGTGGTAAAGTGGTAAAAACAAAGAAGGGATTGCGGTGAGTGTGTTACTGATTTTTTAAAATTATTATTAGAACTATTGGGACTAACCTGACAAGTTTCGTGGGGTGTTATCACCACCTTGTTGTAGCATACAAGCCACGGCAAACCACAGACTATTGAAATAACTGAACTCATCTGAAGTTCCACGGCCACTTTCATCCTTGTACCCATAAGGACTGTAATAGTTCATTCCAAACACGGCTACAGAAATGATAACCAGCGTTGCCAAAGTGCAAAACCAAATGTTATTGTGAAATGGGCTCATGAACTGCAGTAGGTCCATGTCTTCTTTTGAGGAAGTTTTCTTCATCAACATTTCGTTCATGTAAAACATGTAAGGGATAGTAAAATCCACCACTTTTTTCCGATGGAAATTTACTGTCAGAGAAGCTACACTGACATCAGCGCGCTGAAAGAAAAGGATGCCGCACGCTATGAAAATATCACTGTTCATGAGTACAAAGCTCCTGACCAGTGACTGTCAGTTAATCATGGAGCTATTTCTGCAATCATTATCATTTCCATGCAGAGTTTGTAAACTAGTGTAGTCTTACCATGACGCACGTTTTGATCCAGTTAGAGTTTTGTTTTATAAATCTAAAAAATTGCAGTAAACGCTTTATATTATGAGAATAATAATACAAAGCTTATGTTGCGATTATCATAACTCTCCAAGTCCTTTACAATACTAAAAGCCATAAGTTATAAAGATAAGACCTGAATATCGATAACCATGATTATTAAATAATTATAGTAAAAGTACTAAAAGATACCATTTATCAATAATTCAACAAAATTAACAGAATGAATCTCTCTCCCTCTCTTGTTCTAACCTTCCAGCAATTTGTCAACTACCAACCCTGTTATCTATGAGACACAAAATTAAAAGAAAAGTGATTTTGCAAACCTTCGATATGAGTTCCCCAATCATTCCATCCCATGTACCATTTTCAGTTTCAGCGCCATAAAACCCGTCAGGTGAAGGGTAGATCTCATACGAAAACTTGAGAATTTTAGCCAATTCCTCGAAAAGGTCTATGCAATATCCTTCATACCATATGCTGTCACCATCCTGTTTCTTCACAACGTAGGGTGGGCTCTGAATTAGAGTTTAAAAGTAACAGCTTTTTGTCAATCAGGAGACCTCCATATGTCATGATATGTTTATTCTAATCTATTACGTAGCAAAATGCTTAAAAAAGGTGCACGTGCTGCCATCATCGATCGTATTTCACCAGTAAAAGTGCCAATTTAGCCCAGCAGGACAAAGTCTGATTCACCGTCTTGTAGAGCTTTTTTGAGCACAATTTAAGCCAAAACAACGTTATCAAATGAATCAGTTTTAGCCTACCCTGGGACTCAGTCCTTGGGTCCAAATCAGCCCTGGGTAATTGGACTGCAATGGCCCCGATTAACGGAGTCAAATTAGACCCCAAAAAGAGTACCGTATTGTAGACACCAAAACGCCCCCATTTTTTACAGCTCATAGTAACCTGGAAGTTCATCTTTTGATTGTATCTTAATAAATTAAAATAATTTTATTTCACGAACGCGCGTCATGTCCATCTTGAACTAAGCTTTGCTTTGGTAACCGGCATGCACTGGGTACAAAGTTAAAGTCTCCATTACCTCCACAGTAACAACTCTCAACTTTGTTCCCTCCAAAGATTTTCCGGCGGATGGAAGATTCACGTTTGGTAAAATATTTCCAAACATTGATGCACCTTTGGTTGAATTCCACGTTCCTATCTACAAACAAAAAATCAGGCAGTTGTAGCTTTACTGTTGTCAAAAAAAAGCAAAGCTTAAATCTTAGGCGATTGGCATGCATCTTCCCATGCTAATGGCATCATATTTTCTTTTTGGTCAACTTTACCTTGATTCGTGACCGACTGAATCGTACCCACTCTGGCAAAGTTTGAAAGATCTTTTCCTTTCTGCACAAGTGACTGAGATCACAAAGTTGCCTGTGACCGTTAAAACTGATGACTTAACAAGTGGTTCAAGGGACTTGGATCCGCACGAGCGTTTAGGGGCGGTGTAGCAGTTAAAGGACGAATTGGTCAGTTCGTACTCGTAGAAATTTCTACTAGTGGGCTATATTGCAAATCTGACTTAATGACTTGTCCCTCAGAAGCCACTTATTTTTTTCCTTTAAAATCTCTATGTATTCCTAAACTTGGCCTCGGGATTATTGAAAAAATAGTCTCCCTCCAGCCCATATTCGTAAAATGTTTTACATAGTTTTATCACTAAAAGAACTTTTTACTTTTGATAATTGCTTTCTTTCTTACGTTGCACAAAGCATATTCCACGTTAGGCGCACAACACTTACCCTTTGAAAGGAATTGTTTTGTAGATTCAAAATGTCCAGATTAATTTCTTTTCTATTTCCAATCTCGTCAAACTGGACTTTCCCTGTCTTGCCATTCAATTTCACCTATTCATAAAGATGAAAAACAAAATAAAGTGAGGACAACTAATGGGCTGCCTCCCTTAACAAAAGGCCATGTGCACCTTCATGGTTTTGCTTTCTTGTACAAATTAGGACTTTTCCTATTTAAAGCTCCCTGGGATTACTAAATTTAAATATGAAAGGAAAAACGAAAGGGATTGCGGTCGTAGTAGTAGTATGATGACGCCGTCGTGCAAACGCCTTATTTAAGATGGCAGAGTGGATGAGAGGTCAGAGAGCTGCACTTATAAGTAGTCTCAAGGCCGCGGGTTCAAATCCCGCCGTGAGACGGCTAACTGGATTTGACGGCGACTTTATTAGTAATTATTATAATAAATAGAAAGAAAACAATCAGGTTCTAAAGAAAGAAAAAAACTGGTGGAGCCACCTCTCAGTAGCTGAAGCCGGATCATTTATAGCAGGGTTAGATAAAATTAAATATGTCATTACGTAAAAAAGTTAAATAGTTACCTTCTTTATACAAGTTGATAACGTCTCCTTATCGTCTAGAGTAAGGGCCGTGTCGTTAATAACAGAGCATAGTTCTTTGTTCAGCGCTTGCTTCAGAACTTGTGCAGAATCGTAAGCAAGTGCAAAAAATTCCTAAGAAAGTAAATGATTTTCAATCTGTTTTTGGAGGCTCAAAATAAGAAGTAATTCACATGTGATATGCACCCCCCCCTCCTTATCCCCAACTGGAGGCTCAATCTGTTTTTGGAGGCTCAAAATAAGAAGTAATTCACATGTGATATGCACCCCCCCCTCCTTATCCCCTTCATCAAGGAGGCCCCACCCGGAGGGTATACGTCTTCTCAGGATTCAGGCACTGTAAAAGATTGTTAGGGATTTTGATTAACGAACCTGAATGATATATATCCGACCCGCTTTTGTTAAGATCGTGAAAGGTTTTGAACCTAGGAGTCATAAGTAGGTTGAGTATATGATCGTCGGGGTCAACGTAGTCCTGAATAGGACTGTCGTTGTTGACAGTGACTGACGTCTCGACAACCTGTGCGGTAGTGATCTTCAGAGTTAAAATGAGTTGTATCACGTCAGTTGATGGTATTGAACTCATGTTTATTGACCTGATTGGTCAATTAAGTCGCGATGTTATTGGTAGCCTGTCAGTTAAGACGTGAAGATATTCGTTATGAAGACTCGTAGTTATTGGTGCGTTTCGATCCGTCTATTGTCATAGTAAAATAGTTGTTTATTGTTAGTGAAATCGTCAGTTGTCCAGTCGTTCTCTCGTGATTAGTTTTACTTGGTTCAGTCAATAAGTCGTTTACACAGTGGCGGTTTGTTAGTTCCGACTAGCAGCTATTTCGCCTTTCTTGCCAGAATTTTATTTACTAAGTATTTGTAATTTAATTGACGTGCTGACCCTATGGTTGTATCGAATTTATGAAAGGGTATTTGAGTGCGTTTCAGTGGAAAGTTTTCTTAAGTATATAAAAAAAAACGATATAGAGTTAAAACTCTAAGTAACGAAGAGCCAAATGTTTTCGGAAACGAGGTTTCGTTATATTAAGGTAATTCTTTCCCATATACTTTACTTATTATTACTGGGCAGAAGAATATCGCTCGTTATACCGAGCTAGGAGTGATGTTTCGTTCTATAGAGGTTTGTTATATCGAGGTTTCACTGTCACTGCATATGAAAGGATAACTTGAGGGGATATGACCTGGGCCGGAGTTCCCCTGTACAAAACTTTGTTCAGTATTTTCCCTGCATCCTCGACCAACTGACCTTCAATGTAAATTAAGGCTACTTCTTGTGAGTTGACTTAATTAAGCAATGCAAAAATGTAAAGTTCAACATACCTTGCTGACATTTTTGTTCGTTCTTTGAACGATGCTTTTCATGTTATTTAGATCTTGGCTTTCAAAATATGGAAGCTTCATTGCCAGAACCACATTGTTTTCATGACTGCTTAAGTTCAATGGAATCTGAACAACAAAGAACAATCTCTTTTGGGTCATTGCCTCGCACTTCTTATGGTGAAAGGGCAAATTTATACGGTGTAAAACACGCTAATCTTTAATTAAAAGCTGTTTATGATACTCTTTTACTCAAACCTCAGTAATTTAAAAGTGCTTAAATAAATAAACCCAAACGAAGTGCAACCAAGCCACGGATTGGTCAGTGGGAAAGGGTCCGGGTTAGTTAGAGAGTCCGGGTTGCATTCTGGTTTCTCTAAGTTGACAGATTTAGTTTTCCTGTAAGGTTTTGCGAATCGTTTCCTGTAACGTCTCAGACTTTTCTCCCTGGGGAGGTAGGAGGGGGGTGGGGGGGAGGCGGTTACTCGACCAATATGTGCATATGGGTGAGCCGCTGAGGGTTTGAAACACTAAAACTATGTAGAGCAAGAAAAATCTTCAATTTTATTACCCTGTTTAGGACAAAGGACAAAATGCATGCCGTCTTGTTTAAAGCAATTTAATATTGGCAATTGCAATAAAGCAAATTAAAGTTCCTTGCTTTGTATACTTGCAAGACAACCAAATTTCATCAACCAAATCATACAGATCAATTGTGCAGCCAATACCCTGTTTACAATTAGAACAGACTCTCTCGAATTTATACACCCTGTTTGGGACAGAGAGATCAAAACCCATACCCTGTCCAGCGACACATCCCCGTGTACGCCATATAAGGGAGTACTCCCTCCTCCAACCCTCCGGCCTTTTTCATACCTGTCCGTGAAGTAACCATTTGAATCCGTCCTTCTGAAGGTAAGGTTTCTGTCATTAAAATTAAAACAAAGTAATCCTCTTATTTTTAAACCAAACAAATTTCAGTTTTGTTTTCAGTTCTGTCCCTTTGAACCATCCGTTTTTATGCGAGGAATCTACATTACATCTAAATAAATACTGACATAAGGTATGATGATATCAGTTATTCAGTCTAGTTATTTCTCAAAACAAAGTACAGTTCACAGATAAGGTTTATAATCTTTCATTCCTTTGGTTTGTTTCAGATCTTATCCTTTCTTCTCGAATTTGTTTTTTCTCTCAGTATTGTAATCTATTCACTGCTACTGAAAAGCCAGGGACGCTCAACAAACTTAGTATGTATGTCACCCATCTCGAACAGCCTTAATTTCTAATTCGAGGGCAGAAGAATAGTTAATGCATAAAGTTGGCAGGTGAATCGTTGCTGTCGCTTAAGTTGCTCAATTTTTATTATTAACAGAGCTTTTAACCCGGGAAAAGTGAGTTTGAAAGAACTTAGCGTTAGACACGGCAGTCTTTAAGTAAACATTACCTGCTGTAGCATGATTTCAGTGTTTTCCCTTGTAGTAAAAAGCAGTATAACTTCAGGTTCCAGTCTTCTAACTTCTTCCATCGCTGCCAAAATTGATGCGTTTCGGTCTCCCCCAGCGAGCTGGATTAAGTTTACAGACAGTGCTGATTTTCCGGACAGGACGTAAAAATAACTCGCTACTTGAAAACGGTTCTCTAAAGGATATAAGGTAAATCATCTTCTGGTGTTAATTGGTTACGTTGTGATCTGTTAACAGATAGGTTTCATTTTCAAGTCATTTTAGATTATTCATCTTATTTCGTGATTTTTGTGAGAAATTTTCAGTGGTAATGAAAACGTTTCGTTCATACAGTCGAGCGTCTTTGCAACACCCTTTGCATAATTGCGTACGGAGGAAAATGGGCAATGGTGGTAAAATTAGTGACACCAAATTTTTCAAGGAAACAGAAAATTTTTATTTTTTGGAGAACTTGCATCTTAGAGCATATTTAATAAAGAAAAATATGGCAACACAACATAAACCCAATATTAAAAAAATCTATGGCAGCCTGATTTTCTTAAATTCCAGTTGGCTTTTTATACAAACTAATTAATTTCAACTCGTTTTGTAGCAATGTTAACAGGTTCCACGTTTTTGTTGCCCGTTTTCAGTGAGGAATATCATCACTTATTGTTATATTCCTAGACTTTCACTCAACTAAAAAGGGACTGCCATTGGTTGATTCTTGGTCACGTGGCCTTCACTAAAATCAAATGTATCCCGATCGTGATACATTAAGCAATGTACCCTCGGGATACATTACAGCAAGTGATCAAAGCATGGTGGAAAGTGGAAGAAGGCGGGAAAAACACCGCCAGTTTTCATTTTCGTGATTGAACACAACAACACAAACACAAAGCCTCAAGGTAAAAAGCAACGATTTTTAAAGTTATCTCAGAAAAGAAACAGGAGCTAGTGGAGGAAAAAGATGCAGATAATATAAGGAAAGTACTTTCTAAATCATTCATTCAGTGGTTCTGAGAATTAGATTTGTGTTGTTATACCGGTTATTCATTTGTTACCTCGAGTCCTGATGTTTCCCTCGACTTCGTGTCGGGAAACATCAGGACTCTCGGGAAAAAAAAACTAATTGTTTCCCTCGGTATCTGACATTAAGTGTATAATATTAGTAGAATAACTTTTACCATCGAATACTAGTGCAATCTTCTGCCACTGGAATTTGCTTAATATATCAAGTGAGGCATAGGCGTAGTCTTTAAAGTCTGCTGCCATGGTCACTGCTTTCCCACATTGTTCGAATGGCCTGTTGTCTTCATAGAGTCGGATAAGAGGAATGCCAGTAATTTTAGAGAGTTCACATGCGGGAATCTTTGTGTTGCTTCCCTCTATAAGAACGGCGACGTTTTGTGCAATAAATGCTGACGCTGAAAATAAAGTTAAGCGACTAAACAAAAATTAAGAAGCAACGTCTATATTTTAAAATTTGAATATTCTGCGGAAGGAGACTGAGATTGGCTAAAACTCTGGGTAGCAAAATCGCTGGGTTTTCACTACAATCACAGTTTCTTTATTTTGTTATTAAGTTTTCAAGAGCACCAATCAGTTCTTCTTTGTAGGCCATGTTAAAAGAAACCAAACCCGTTTACATAAGAACTATCCTTTTTTGATATCATTGAAATATAGCGAATAAACACTCCGGTTTAGAAGAGATTAAAACAACAGTATTTCTAGTACTAATGCTAGTGGGGTGGAACAGAACCCAGAAACAAGTAATTTAAATCAAACATAATGGGGTTAACTAATCTCATCTGGCCGGAGGGAAACCATTTTTGACTATTTACAACAGTGGTCGAGGATTTGATCTCGGGACTACTGAGAACAAATCCAGTTAGCGGTCAGGGCGGGAATTGAACTCGGGACCAGTTCAGCGCTCTAATAAACTGCACTGAGGCGAATATTAATAGTTTATCCAATCCACTGGATGCGATTTCGATTTTAAGTCATGCAGTGTAAAGCATTAATATACAACTTGTTCCATTTTGTGTTTCTTTTTTGCCCTATATGCTGATCTGATATCTTCCTATAAATTTCTTCTGTCACTGCTTACTATCGCTTACCGTGATTGAAATGGTGGGAGTTCTCTGAGAAGTCGAACTTTTGAACGTTAAGTGTAATATTATTCTCCGTTGACGAATTGGAACTAAGAGCAATCATAACTGAATCACATTCTACTGAGTGCACATTTATAACAGCTATGGAAAGAATAGAAATCAGACAAAGTTATGGCAATTATCCTTTCCTTGCACAGAATTAAGCTTGACTATCGTAAAACGTTATTTGACATATTCCCAGAGTTTCATTCTACTAAGAAGGGACTGCCATTGGTTGATGCTTGGTCACGTGGCCTTGACAAAATACATATTATGTATCCCGATGGTGATGCCAAGAATCAGGCAGTTGTATCCCGCTCAGGATACAACAGCACGTGATCAAAGCATTGTGGAAAGTAACGTGCACGGGAGAAGGCGGAACAACCTATACGGTCTCAGTGAGGTGGTAGCTTTGACGTCAGTTGACGGTTTTTTTTTTCAATTTTGACGGATGGCAGTTTCATTTTAGAGCGTTTGACGGTTGACAGAGTGGAAATTTAGTCCAAGGCTCAAGTTAAATATTAACTCCTTATACGTTTTTATTAACTGTTCTGTTTTGGTGGTTGCCTTGGCCTTTCAACAATAAAATTTCGAAATACTTTCACATGTAAGCAAGTTAGGTCTTGCAATTTCTAGAGAGAGTGTTTTTGAGAACATGGAAACTGGTTTTTCCAGTTGAGGGATTCTTTAGGAGCCAGAAGTCCGTGAAGATCATCTGAAATAGCGAGGTCTGAAACGTTTTGACACTTGATATTACACTGCATTTTTGTCGGTTGAAAGTGACTCATTCTGGTCCTGTCGAGGTCTAGAACTCCTTGCACTAAGAGGTTTTCTTGAAAAAGAAACAAGCAAGATCTTAAAAATTAAAAGAACTATGTTTGGTTTTATTCGGTTTAGGAACTGAAATTATTGTCGTGATAGATATTCATCCATTAAGAGCTGGCAGTATGAAGGTTTTAGAAAGTTGTCATAAATTCTGAAAATCTAGTGAACATAGTTGACCGGTACTACATATTACAATTAGATATGGAAAATATTATATCTGAGAGCTACCTTTTATCCAGACCTACCGCAAGTAAATGTTCTATTTGTCGTTTTCACATTCGCCAGGATCGTGAATATAATTACCAATGTAAAGATAAAGACACTATTCCAACGCATCTTTTTGTTACAAATTAAGAAAAATAGAGCACTACCAAGTGCAGTCAACTAGAGAGGGAATAAAAAAAAAATGAATCAGTGGGGCTTTTAAAAATGAAAAAGGCCACCAAAGTAACTGTTGTTATCTTTCTTGTAGGAGTATAGCACACACAAACAACGTTTTAAGTTTCCTACCGTGGGTATATCCTCTTGCGAGATCTCCTTAATTATACGTGGAAGCAGCTGATTTTTCTTCTTTACTTTGGCAAACTTGAATGCCAGCTAATAAAGATCAGGAATCTAGTTCCATGCGGCCAGTTTCAGCTATTTACCTTTTAAGAAATAATTTTTTTTCTATATGAAATTATAATGTGTGCAAAATGCAAAAAATCTATTTTGAATTCCAAACAACATCAATTATTCTTGTAACCATAGCGTAGATCGGCTTCAAGTCGTTATAACCGTACGGTAAATTTACTTTTCCAACAATAACTATTGAAACTTAGGAGATTATATTTTTATGAGCACTTCTGGTATAATTCCTTTGTTGTATATTTACCGTATATTCCAATTTCCAACATCAGTTTCTCTAATTTTCTTATCACTGTTTCGCGTAACTCATTGAAGCTAATAAATTGGTCCTAAAAATGTTGGTATACAGATTGTGTGCTAATTTCCTAAAAATAAAGTAAAATAAAAGTTTATAGTGGAGAGGCTAAATGAAATTTAGGTTTGATAAATAAAAATTAAGTTTAAAAAGCGAGAAAAAATGAGAAAATTATACTTACCTTGAGGTTAATAATTATGTCTTATTCGGTTTGACTAGTCAGGCAACCAAATTTGTTAACGCATTGACCCCTACCAATTGGACGTTCAGAACCCACTTGATAAGACATCTGCTTTCAAAAGGCGAGACTAACTGTTTGCAGGCCAACCCATTTGAATTCTTATCATTTAAAAGTGGGCTACTATAGGTAATTAACAGCTAGGACTGCTACGTTATGGATTGTGGTGGTTATGAACTATGTGCAACCGAAAGAACTTTTGTACGGTAATATGTTATTGTCTTGTATTCAAAATTGTAGATAACTTTGAACATAGAGCAAAAGGGTGATGCCTAATCTTACTATACATTGTACAATGTAAGACAAAAGCCTGCTGTTATCCTCTCATCCATGCATTACATAACATAAAATACATCAGGAATCATCAGTACATAAAAGTGTTTAATGATTTACAAGCAATCTGCACTATCTTCATGTATTTATGTTTTCTACTCCATAGAAACCTTGACTGTACTGCGCAGGTCAAGCATCATAGATTACGGTGTGTCAAAAGTTTGACACACTTTTGCTGGAGAAAAAAAAAAGGAAAACTTTTTCGTAACTTCAGTGTCCATCGGAGACAAAATTACAAGGGATTCCCCCTCTTCCTTCTTCAAAGTTCTCATTGCAATTGCTTTTTACGATTTTGGAAGCCTTATTAACCCAAACCTTATAAGGGTGACAGCGGAATAATTCTTGCAAAGTCCGAAAAATACCAATTACTTAGGCCAAATATATTGCGGAGTCACCTCAAGCCTTTTTGCAGTTGGTTATAGCTTTTAAACATTCAAGACGATAGCCCAACTTCATCTCAGAAATTCCATGTAAGTAAGTTCAAATAGGACTTTATGAAAGCATGCATTTATCGAATGTAGCTTTATCGTACGATATTTTCTGCTTAAAAAGTTAACATGTTAATAAAAGCATAATAGCACGTTGCGGCTTTTAGAGAGTTAAGAAAAAGATATAAGCAAAAATTCGCAGTTTCACAACTTTAGAGACCCCGTGACAAGATGATTGAGGGAGTACTATAAACTAACCACACACTGTTTATAGATACAATTGAAAGCGTCATTTAATTTGACTTTACCTTACAACAAATAACAATATAATACAGCAATATCTATACCCCAAGTAATTCAGGACATGCAGCCAGTATTGTTACTGCTATACACTGGCATTATAAATTCATTTATTATTCATTCAAAATATTTCTCCGTTTCTGATTGGCTAAAAGCAATCGCATTAGTCACCGTAACCAGCTACTGTTGACCAAATTTGGAAGAATCTAGCAATTAATCAACCGATAACGTCAAAAGTGCAGCACAGTTGCAGGTTAATGCACCGTTAACCGAGAAGACCTGGGGACGAGGTTGAGTTGTTTTGGTTGTGAAAAGAAAAATGGCCGAACAGTCGGCGGAATATTTTACTCGTTTCACGACGAACTATCGACTAAAAACATAGCAAGAAAACAACTCGACGGACAACATCTGCTATTTGAAGTATATTTGCAGACGTGAACAGCCCTTTATCTTCTAAGCGTGCACTATCGAGGTGAACTTAACATCGACGAAGGTACGGCATGTTATAGCTTGTTTATTTTGAATGAATAATAAAGCAATTAATGAATTCGGCTTTCGTAGGATATAAAGAATTATGCAGATCTCGGAGGGTGTTATCCGCCTCGGCCTTCGGCCTCGGTGGATCCTACTCAACCTCATTCATTAATCATACAGCAGACATTTAATTTGCTAAAGGTAGATTTGACACACTGAACATTGCTTATTTCAATGCCACGAAAAGTGTGTTTCATAAATTTTTTCTCTAGCTATTCGTTTCAGCAGAAATCTTTGTCCTACATCTAGAAGTGAAAAAAAAGGTAAAAAAGTAAAAATGTTAGAATATAAGCTAATATAACAATCATCGTCCTTTTCGTTTTCTAATTACTTTGAATAGCTGGCATGCCAGTGCTTTTTGATTAGTAAAATCTTAGTTCATTAATCATCGTTAGCCAATAATTTTAAGTGCAGTATGTTTGGTCCATTGTCCTCAGTTTTTATTTTTTTTAAAATTACCTTCTAAACGTGTTAAGAACTCTTCTTCTTATTCTTCTCTCCCAGTACATCTCGGCTATTAGTGTGATGAATGCAAAGACTATCCCACCAAGAAGAACAATATACACACCAAGCATACTTTTCAGATCAATTTGCTTCTGAGCCAAAACTGAAATGAAAGAAAACAGACGACAATGTTTACTGAAAGCAGGAACATTCATAAATAATAATAGGGTGTAAAGTCCACCACTAGTTAACAAAATGCAATTGAGATGAGACCGCATCAGTTATCCCGGATCTTACCCCCATATTACGTTATAAAGGTCAGGTGCACAGCTCTTAAATATCCTTTGCTGTGCTCCTTTGATAAAGTACCTAAAAGCAGAGACTCTAAGCTGCTCTATAGAATCATTTTGTCTTGTTAACTTAGCCAATAACAAACTATTGTCTGACCTATCATGAATGCCTATGTAACGCCGGGTAAACTGAGGAAAAAAGGGAGTCGATCTGTTGAAGACCATTCTGTAATATCGGTTTTCCTTACAAGGGTTGTCATTATCAAGTTCTGAGCCTCAAAAAAGTTTCCCAATTTTCGAATTAGCTTGATTTAACACCGGTGCTACCTCATTTCTCTTTCGGAAATAAAGCTCGAAATTCTCTCAGATCCCATGAAGTTATTCTTACGTGTATTCTCTTCATCAACACAACTGTTAGATGTTTGCCACCATTTTCGATACAAATCCTCGAGAACATGAGTCCTTTGAAGACGTAGAATAGCCAGCGTAAATTCCCTGGTATGAGGATCATTTGCTTGAAGAGCGAATGCTAACCCACTGGTGGAACTTAAACCTGGAACTAACAAGCAAGAACCATTTGTAGAAACAAACAAACAAACAAACTAAGGTAATAATGAAATGGTTGTGAAGCCATGGCAATCTTATATGTTGTACATGGCCTCCAACATGCATTTTCCATATCTTTTATTTTGTTAGGGTGGCTTTCACGACCTAATACCTCTTATATGACCATGGTAAACAACTGCCAACTATTTTTGCACGGTGTGTCTTTTTTTCATAATAACTAATTCAATAGTTAACACAAAGAAGCGACTCTATCAAACTTTTTTTTTACTAAGGAAAAGGAAAAAAGTTAGGTTCAAGTGTGATAGATAACTGTTTTTATTAGGAAAATACTAGACACGATAGAATACAATAAGTTGAGAGGGCCGATTATACTAAGGATTCTCTGGTTGTTTGACATCAAGCTGATAAAATTATCATAACTTGCTGGTATATAGCAGTCTACTGGAGTTGGGTTACAGTGTTTGAATGAATATTCACATGCACTCATGTAATTCGATAAGGACTAAAGTTTCCAAATTTACAGACAGACTATTTTTTTCAACGAATGTGAAATAATTACCTGTTTTAAGGTTGCAAGGTGGCTTCTTAGCCGCATGCCTAAGAGTGAGTCCTTCAGAAATAAAAGCAAATTTTTCCCTTTCCCTGACCCATTGAACACCTTCAGCTATGCTGGGGAGGAAGGTATTTGCAGCCTCCATCCTATGCCAAATCGTTTTGTGTGTCTCGTATTGGCTTTCTTTAAAAGCCTGGTAGGTTGCACCTGAATGAATGACTCCGATTTCATAATTTGAATTTGCCAGGTCTTTCAGGTTGTTAATAGGGCGCTCCGCGTTTTTTACGGTAAAGAAGGCGGCCAGATTGGCAGTGTACGTTGAGACCCAGATCAAAATACAAAACCAGTAACATCCGGTCAGAATTCGGCCTAAAATAAAAGGAATGCATATCGTTGAATTAGCATTATAAACAGACGAAGTGAAGGTCCATGCTTTTTAATTTTGTATTTTGCCCTTCTCAGTTGCTTAAGATCGGAGCACGGGAGTTGCCTTTTCTTCGCAACACTGAACTAAAGTTTTGTCGAGGATGTTGATTGCCACAGTTACGCGCTTAACAGTTTTAAGTAAAATTGAAAGCCGTCATCAAAGAAACTAGGTACTTTTCTTTATTATCAGGTATTATATTTTGCATATTTTTCGTGGGTTAAATTAGCTATAGCTGGATACAACTTTAAAGCAATCAACAACAAGAACGAGAAGAAGGAAAAACCTGATAAGCTTCGTGGCGTGTTATCACCGCCTTGTTGCAGCATACAGGCCACAGCAAACCACAGACTATTGAAATAGCTGAACTCATCCGAGGTTCGACGACCACTTTCGTCTTTGTACCCATAAGGACTGTAGTAGTTTATTGCAAACACGGCTACTGAAATTAGAACCAGCGCGCCCAAAGTGCAGAACCAAACGCTATTGTGAAATGGGCTCATGAACTGCAACAAATCGTGGTTTTCCTTTGAAGATTTCTTCATTAAAATATCATTAGTGTAAAACATGAATGGGACAGTGAAGTCCACCACCTTCGCCCTACGTTCGGTGACAGTTAGTGAAGCTACGATTACATCAGCTCTCTAAGGAGAAAAAAAAGAGGCAAATCCTGTTAATGAAAATGTTGTTACGAAGGAACCTCGCGCCAGACCTCTATCTCCCTTATAGGGCAGTGGGTCACGACAACATATAGGATTTCCAAGCTATTTTTGAAACATTCATCTTTCGCGACCAAATAATCGTTCTAAACCAATAATAAAAGAGTAGAGGCTGTATCTCTTTGAATTTTAAAGTAGCTCATGGAGCTCACTTATTGTTATTTCCATGTTCTGTTAGTAATCACTTTCGGTCTAGGTCGTCTATCGTCTAGTCGTCTATCCATTTTCACGCCTGGGTTGACTATTATGGGGTTTGTATATTGTGAGGTAGATGTGACTAAGCTGGGATTGCAAAAATTGCTTTTTTTACCTAAAGGTGACTAAAATGGGGTCTCTAATACGGCCACAGAATAGATTTATGTACTAATTCAATGGTTTTTTACTTTAATTTGTAATGTTTTGTAATTTGTTTCATAGTAAACTCTTGAAATAGTGCAATAAATATTAAAAAAATCAGAAGCTGAAAAAATCTGAAAATCAGACTAAAATGGGCCAGGGATTCTGAGAGGCCAGCGGCACATAGCCAGCAAAAATTAATCCAAGTACTCCCCTCCCAAGGGTCGTCTAGTGCTCGTTTCTGAAGTCTCAACCCTGGTATCACATTTTTTTGGGTATAAATTTTCATAAACAAAATAATCTACCTTTCCTATGAGCTCTCCAACCAATCCGTTCCATGTTCCATTTTCTGTTTTAGCGCCATAATATCCGTCAGGCGTAGGGTAGAACTCATATGTAAATTTGAGAATTTTTGCCAGTTCTTTGAAAAGATCGATGCTATATCCTTCATACCATACGTTGTCACCATCCTGTTTCTTCATAACAAAAGGTTCGTTCTGTTTTGGAGAAGGAAAAGGAATAGAAAGGCCAATTTGTATGTGTAATCAAATGGTGACGAGTGAAATTGGTGAATAATTTCACGCGCGTTTTGTCCAAATCGTTATAATTTCCCGAGCCTTTAGGCGAGGGAAATTATTAGGATTTGGACAAAACGCAAGTAAAATTATTCCCTAATTTCACGAGCATACCATTTGATTACCTAATAATATTATGGGTGACGAATTACGTTAGCAATCTTGAATTGGATTTTTGACATGTTTATTTTGGATCGTCGAGAACTCCACTCTCTCGAAAGTTTAGAGCTTAAATTTGACTCAAGTTTAGAATTTTTCGACAAAATGCCTGTTAGAATCCTTCTTGATGTGCTCTTTCGTGTGTTCAGGTTTTCTAAAGCGTCTTTATATGCCCTGGCATCTTCATTCATGGCATTTTAAAACTTCGTCGCCATCTTGACACTGAGACGTAGGAAGGTTGCCATGGCAATTTTGTAATTTCACATGTGAAATTACAAATCATCGCTGAAATTTCGCGCCAAAATTAAGGCGTAATTCCTCACCTATGATATTAGTATGATTAATTAACCCCCGGCTTCATAACATGATACTAAACATACCTCAACTCAAGGACATACAAGTTAATCCCCCTGGACTTAAGCATTTGCTTCGAATCTGTTGTGTTATATTATTCATTTTTTGTACCCATAGCTAATCTCGTAATGACAGTCTTAATTAAAGTCTTCCTTACCTCCACTATGACAGCTCTCAACTTTTTCCCTTCCAAAGTTTCTGCAGTAGATGAAGGTATTGAATTACGTAAAATATTTCCAAACATCGTAACACCTGTCGTTGAATTCCACGTACCTATCTACGAGCGACAATGGAGTTCAATTATCATGATCATTCAATTAATGTTGCTAGTTCATATGATAAATAACTCTCAGACATGCTAATACTGTGCTGGGTAAAGATGTTCTATAGAAATATGTTTTGCACTGTTCTTAAGAAAAACAGGAAAATAATTACCTTGAGCCTTACACTGACTCGCCAGGCCTAGTCAGTGTCTAGGCCTAGAATCGTAATTGTTAGTTTCTTCATAGTTAAAAGTATATTACATAAAGAAACAAAATATTACGATAGGTCCGGACAACAAAGAAATGTCTTAGCTCCATTCTAGAAAAGTATCGTTTTCTTAGAAACAGTCAAGGCACGATATAATTATGTATTCTCTCCTACACTATATCTTGAATACAAGCGATAATATTACTTTAAATTGTACGCCAGCAGTTTTGCTGGCAATTACAAAGCACACCATATATAAGTTAAACAATGGGGAATACTTACTCCTCTAAAATAATTGTTTTGTAGGTTCAGAATTTCCAGATTAATCTCTTTTCTAGTTCCTTTCTCGTCAAACTTGACTTTTCCTGTTCTGCCACACATATCGACCTGTTAAACACAGTGGTCATGGGTGAAGACACAGTAATGACGAGAGCCAAGAGACTTAAAAAGCTAGAGGAACGGGCAGTTAAGACTAGTTAATAAATGAAAATTTTTAACTCATTATTGAAAGTCAAGGTCAATTACCTTGAATTACCTTTTAATAAATGTCATAGTCCTAGATAACCCATAATATCAAGGGGTTTTTGCTAATCTAACTAAAAAATATTAATAGCTTCCGTGAATTGCCACGTGGAGTTGAATGAGATTCAAGTGTCAATTGTCGTAATCAGTTTCATCCTGGCTACGATTCAATTAAGGGATTTGTAAAACGTCTGAAAATCAGACTTTGATATGATAACGTTCCAATATCTTTCAACGCTGGTCACCTTTCTTATGCACGCTAATATTTTCGCTGTATCGTTCATAGTAACGGCCTTCCCATTAATAGAAGAGCATGGCTGTTCGTTCAGTGCTTGCTTTAGAACTTGGACGGAATCGTCAGCTAGTGCTAGAAGCCCCTGAAAAAAAATAAGCATCTCTCGATTAATTCCATCGAAAAGAGCCTATTCATTGATTCATTATTAATTTCAAAGCGAAATAAATTAGGCTACCCCAGCTGGGAGGACTCCGATAAAGTGACGTGGATAATCATCGTCTCGCTTAGAGGTGAAAATTGTAGATTTTGGCCTCGCTAATAGGTTGTTCAGGACGGCGGAAAGCCAACACTATTCCTCAAAAAAGACACCCCTAAGGGTTGTGCGTGAAGACACATCAATACTAGAAAAAACATCAAACGCCGTTATTAACTTTGTAAAGAATTATAATCTTCGATTCTCTAACAGAACGCTTTCTCAGGGGTTGTATCAAATCACAGAATAGCATGACATACCTTGTTGGTATTGTTGTAGATTTTCTTGAGGTTGTTCTCCATCTTCTCAAAAACTTGGGTTTTGATGTATGGAAAATTCATTGTTAGAACCAAATTGTTTCCATGGCTGCTTAAGTTTAATGAGGTCTGAAAGCCAAAAATGTATATACATCGTGTTGAGAATGATGAAAAAGGATTGATCAATAACTTAGACTCTTTCTAAAAAATTGTATGAAAATCGAGGCGCCCTGTGCAGTGTGCTGCGTTGACAGTTTTTTTTTCTCTCACAGATTAGTTTTGAACACCGGATTATTTTCGCTCGCGATGATTGAGTTAATGATGACGATGAATTTATGATTGATAGTGATGATCATTTTAATGAATATGATAATAATGATGATGATGACAATGATGATGATGAGTTGGCGGTCTTATTCTCTAAATGTTTTTAAGTTCCTTACTTGGACATCTCCCTTTTCATACCTCTCTCTGAAGTATCCATTTGAAACCTTTCTTGTGGTTGCATGGTTTCTTTGTGAGAGAAAAAAAAAAAGTTGGATTCTTTATACTACGACGACAACAACAACAACAACAACAACAGCAAAATAACAACTGTCGATGCAAAATTTTCTTTGTTACTTTATAAAACATAAAACAGTCTTAGCAAAAAATCCTTTCAGCTATTTAAACATAACTTGACGGATGTCTCTTGATCAAAGTCAAGGGTCTTCAAGAACATAGTGCTCACGGAAAATAACGCTACATCGACTATTACCTGTTGTAGAAAGAGTTCAGTGCTTTCCCTTGTAGCGTAGAGCAGAATTATTTCGGGATCAATACTTCTTAATTCATCCATCGTTCCCAAAATAGATCCCATTGTGTCTTCAGGTCTCCCTTGCCCAGTAAAAGGGATTAGCTTCACAGATAGTGCTGGCACCGTTAATTTTCGAGACAGCGCGTAAAAATAGTTGGCCTGGTACGTACGTTTTTCTAAAAAGAGAGAAGATAAATCTGTTTTATTGTTTCAGCTTTTCTAGAATCAACCTGGTTTCCGGGAAAAGGAAAAAGAAACAGAATAAAAGTAAACCGTTAAGAGAGTTTGTTTAAGATAAATTGAAACTTCTCCTATATCATCCTTTGTAGGTATTAGAATTTATGATGATTCAAAAAAGAAAAGAAAAGAAAAATAATGTTTTTCCCTATTATTTTATTCCCCCCTCCCCCCCCCCACAAAAAAATCTTTGAATAGCGTTAGTCATTTGCAACCATTTGTACATGTGACGTCCGCATAGAAAATTAGATAATTTTCTTTGCTATGCAACGAGCTACAAATCCTATCATCAAGCTATACAGACATTGTATGTATAAAATGCAGTTCTTTGAATAGACAATTAAACCAACACAATTATCATTCTAATAAAGACACAAGCTGAATTTTACCATCAAATACTAATGCAATCGTTTGCCATTGGAATGCACTCAGGATATCAAGTGAGGCATGCGTAAAGTCTCTGTAGTCCGCTGCCATCTTTATTGCATTTCCACATTGTTCGAATGGATGGCTGTTTTCTTGCAGCTTGATAAGAGGAATGCCAGTTATTATAGAGAAGGCACATGCTGGGGTTTTCGCCTTGCTTCCCTCTATAAGAACAGCTATGTTTTGTTGAATAAGATTTAATGCTGAAAGAGATATTATTGCTGAAAATTAGCAAGTAAACGGCAAAGGAGGAGCTTCTTAAGGTCCAAACCCAGTAAACAGTGTTTTTTTCTCGGTTTATTTTGTCGAACTCGGATGTCACTTAAGCTTAATGAGACTCACAGGCGGTAGAAATTTGCTCATGACAATTCTGATTTTAATTGTCCAACAGTATTATTCAGATTTAACTGAGCGCCTTTAGCGATTTTCCGTTTACAGACATTGTTGTCAGCGTATAAACTTACAAAAATGAATTATAGGTATACAGACTAATAATCCTGCACATATTTAACGCATTAGCTGCTATTCGCAACTCGACGATGTGACCGTTTACAACATCGGGAAAAATGCTTGCACCTTCCAGTAATTAACTCAAAGATTTTGGTCCTGGCTTTCTGGCGTAATTATTTGTGTCACAAGTATAACGTTTTTTGTATTTGTGTTTACCGTTCTTGACAGCATTAATTACTCCCAGTCATCATACCTTGATTAAACAGATGGAAACTCTCCGAAAAGTCAAACTGTTGCACGTTGATTGAAATATTTTGTATGATTGACGAATTGCTGGCTGCAATTTTCAGTGCCTCATATTCCACTGAGTATGCATTAATAATACCTGCCGGAGGGAGAAGGAGGAAAGATTAAAAAGTTATTGAGACAGCAATTTGAGTTGAGTTCTTGCAAACTCTCTGATCTGTAATGAAAATCGGACTCATAATCAGTATTAAGCTTATTTTTTATTTGGAAAGAAGAAAAAGAAGACGATTAGAAGAAGGAGCTTAACCATGGTATTTAACCATATAAAAATTCAGTATTAATAAGATATAAAAATAAATGAAAAAAAAGTACCATATAGTTTACACATATAAGTGATGACCTATATTCCCCTTGTAAGTAGTTATTCGGTTCGACGTTTGAAGAATAAAATATAACCGGGAGACACTCGGCCTACACAAGAATCACCTGACAAATTTCTAGATCGGTGTTCAATTTACTGCGTTTCATGAAAGCTTACCGCACGTAAACATTCTGCTTGTTGTTTCCCCCGTGGCTATAACAATAATTGTTGATATATAAATGTTGATTGTTAGCCATACCATCTTCAGTCTCTGAAGTAAATATAATATAGTCATTTGTTAAATTAATAAACTAGTAAAAAAATCTATTGTCGAATCGAATCGAAAAAAAAATGTAGAAATTAGAATCGATTATCGAATGAGTCATTTACTTTGGAAACTTATTTGAGTATCTTAAAACGTGTTTGGTTGGACAAAACAAAAACAAAATCCACCACACATACAACATCCGAGACTCTCTTAAGCAACAAATGTTTAGCCTGAGATTTCAAATAATTATGAAATCATAACGGTAATAGTAATTTAAGGTGTTTCGGAACAGTTTTTCTGAGACCATACCGATATTTTTCAATCGCGTTCAAAGTGATTTTATCCTTGTCACGATCGCTATATGAAATTTCCACCACTGACTGACCGTTTGGTTTTAAGTTTTTCAAAATCGATATCACTAATGGTAACAATAAACAAGAAAAATTTAAATCAACAAAAGCCGGATTTTGCGCGATTTAGACCTGCTGCTGAAAATCCGACACTCTAAGCAAATAATTCTGTATTGAATCCAAATAAAACGTAAATATATTTCAAACCTTTTTTTTTTATAGTTGTGATAAATTGTTTCACAAAAAAGCTCTAAATTACCCAAATTGGTCTTAAGTAGCGTCAGAATGCTGCTTAATATGATTTTCGCTGGCTGCTTGGAAAGATCTGCATGGTCTCCGAAAAACTATATCGAAACATCTTAAATACAACTCGATTAAGAGCAGATTTTTAGAAAGGTTTTGCTCACTCGTCCAAGTTAATGCACCAACGGTGGAAACAAGTCAAGGTACTGAAACAAACATTTCATATCAAGAGTAATTAGAATTAATAGTATTCGTGAGATTGTATCAGCTCTCGTACCTGTTATAACTCTGAATCCCTTATTTCAAAGTGTCTGTTTCATTCTACCTTAATCAGAGGCTCAGCCAAGTGGCCTGTCTTTTACAAAAGAGGAAGTTTGAAACTGACATTGTCAAACACGTTTATGAGGCCGAAATGTTGAACTTTAAATTTGTTCGTCGTTTTTGCGATATATCCGGAATATTATGAGCCTTGCCTTGTTAGTTTTTTTTCCTTGAAGTTTACGAGACCTCATAGTGTGTTGCCCCCGCGTATCTCAAACCTTGTTAACAAAGCCAGTCAGTTATGAGAAAAAAATAAAAAATTAGCGGAACTTATGAGAATATTCTGGCTCCTCTTCATGAACATTCATTCATTGCAGTACAATTACCGCGGAAGTCGTAATCCTTTGTAATCTATAGGAAATGATGATGATCTAGTCTGCAGGCATTTATTATTTCTCTTTTTTTCTTTTTCATTTTCATACTTCAGAAACAGACCTTTATCGATTAAGTTGCCCTCTAGCTGTTTCGTACGCGAATTATGCACCAACTTTGGTTTAATTTGTTGTGGCGTATAGTATTAATTCAATTCTTTGGGTTGTTTATGCATGTAATTTAATTATGACCCTGCTTATTACTAATTGACACATAAAAGTAGCGTCTCACATGAAAAAGAAAAAAAAACACTATAATTGTAATAAGTTACAGGTTACAGCTTAATGTAAGTTGTTAAGGTCTGTGCTGAATAACCTGAGACTGAAGAGTTTGACATGCTATCCAAGTGATATTATGCCAGGTTTTAATTTTCTGAGGGAGAAACGCAATATACTAATCTGCTGGAGCTATATGTCCTGTTGTGCCTTTTATCTATACAAATTCGCACGAAATTATCAAAACAGCTGATTATTTTCGGTTACACTGGAAATCACGCATTAAATTAAGTTGTGGACCAGCCGAGGACAGTGCTTTTTTTTTCCCCTCGAAATCATTTGAAATATCAGTGGATTTAAGACAGTAAAGGTTTTTTGAATCCAAAATTATAAAGCAATTACCTTGCATACTTGCAGTCCATATTCTGGCTTACTTCCAGTAATAAAAAATACAATAACTCTTTTGTGCGAAATAAACAAAAACGGTCTTCACAAGTTAAACCTTTTGCATTTCATTTCAACCAAGCAAGCAGGTGACCAAAATATATATATAAAAAAAGATTTTGGCACTCATCGGCAAGGGAATATTTAGTAAAAAATGGGATTATACTTACTCCGTTAACTTTGTGTAAGCAGAACATTAACCGCCCTAAGTAACACGAAGCGACTTATTAATTAGAGAGTTTTAACCCATTCGCTCCTGGAGATTTTGCCGGAAAACGCGTTGAAGCTAGTCGAGTCTTTTCTGGTCACTGTCGTGCTATAAAGAGCTACAACTTACCACAAAACCGTTTACAGGTTGTACACCTTACGGCCTTCTGATCCAGATGCAAACTGTTAGCTCGCGAAGTTCGGGCATGCGCAGAAAGCAAAATTTCGCTATTCTTGCATCTTTTTTTCTCTTGCTGTGCATTTAGTAGGCCTGACATTTTGGTGGGAAGAGTTTTTAGGAAAGATTTTCGGATCTTAGGATTAGGTGAAAGGAAAGGTAGGTGGGCAATGGAACAAGATTTTACATGCAGGTCAATGTCACATGGTTTTGGTCCTTTTTCTTCGGTGTCCTTGACTGAATTATACTCACATTCTGGTATGGTTTGAAAGATCTCTTTACTCTGCACAAGTTAGCAGACAAAGTTGCCAACAACAGAAAAACAACAGAAGTGATTATCAATTCTACGTTAAAAGCTCAGAGCTAACCAAGTACACCGTAATTTTTAGGGAGTTATTATAACTCCAAAAATGGAGTAAAAATTTTAGGTACAGGATAACCCCTTTTTTGGGGTTATTTTAACTCCTAATTTAACTCCGAATTTGGGATCATTTTTACTCCTGAAAAAGAGTTCTTTTTACTCCCAGTCTGGAGTTGAAATTACTCCGAAATGGGGTTACTTGTACTTCTTACATGGGTTGTTTTTACTCTTTTTGGAGTTAATTTAACTCTGAAAGTGGAGTAAAAATTTTAGGTACAGGATAACTCCTTTTTTGGGGTTATTTCAACTCCTCAATATCTGGGGTCACTTTTACTCCTGAAAAAGAGTTCTTTAAACTCCTTTTTGGAGTTAAAGTAACTCCACGAAAAATAACTCCACTGTAAGGAGTTAAATTAGCCCCACTAGAGGAGTTATTATAACTCCCTGAAAATTACAGTGTAGAAAAATTAGCCTGCATCCACGTTGGATTCGCTATATTGAATTGCAAAAGAGGAATGGGCCGAGTTAAACTTACCCTCCCCTCTCTGTCTCTTTCTTTCGCCCAAGGAGCTACCCCAAGAATTGCTTAATTTCTACTTTCCTGTCCTCCTTTGTCTTTAAATTAATTTCGCTCGCCCCACAAAAATACGCTTGCGTCGTGCAGGCTTTAAAAAATAAGTGACCGAGCATTTACGAGTGTGAGACAACTAGCTAACAGTACATACTTTATTGAGTCACCCCTTTTTCAGAACCACGTAATGATTAAGTAATTAAAAACAAATCGTGAAGAAAGGTGTATACTTTAATTTATGATAAGATAAAATTCAAGAGATAAAACATATAAACAAGAGTTAAATATATGCCCAAAAGCACTTGTCCTAGGGCGTCTTCTGAAAGACATAACTGGCCGGCCGGGCAATCCCTTTTCAATATGAAAGAGTGGTCTTTTCTCGGAATTTTCACCAACACCCATTATTTCCGTGCAACTATTTCGCGCGTTCCTTTTATTCCTCGTCATGCAAAGTTCATGAATTATACACAGTGACTTCTTTCTCAAATTATCTTTGCATTACCTTTCCCGTTACCTAATCAAGAAACGTTCCTCATAATTCACTTACATTTTAATTTTAATTATCCAAATATACTGTCTATTTAAAACTTGTGATTAACTGTGTAATATACGTAACACTTGCTGGCTGTTAGAGAGCGTGAGAAATCGAAATCATCTGATATTTTTTTTAAACCGCACTCGGCTACGGTTGTGAAGATCGTGAAGTTTACCTTTAATTTATTAGTCTAGTTCAACAAACTTCACGTTTGTTTGCAAGTAGATCAATAAATAAGTCCCAAACCATACAAAAACCCAATATAATACAAATACGTTGAAAGACGTTCTAAGTTCTCACTCAGTTTGTTCGTGGGTTGATGCGTATCGATCGGACATTTGACCTGGAGACAAAAAATATAGGGGAATTTTGTTAACACTGAAATTGCCATTGTTATACGCGAGAGGAGAGCTGGTACGACTTATGACCATAAAGGCTCTATGGATCGTTTAGAGGGACAGCAAAAACATGGAGACAGCAGCAAGCCACTTGTTTAGGACGCATTCAGGGTTATTCTGATAAAAGAGGACATACCTGTCTTTAAGAATTCTGTAAAAATGACTTGCATTTCTGAAAGTATTATTGCAGTTTGGAACACGGCACTTACAATTTGGAAGGGTCTCTGCGTTCAACAAAATTTTGTTTTGACTTGTAAAGTGCACTGCCTAAGGTGGTCTATCATACTGTATTTGTAGCGGGTCTGCCAAGTCATATTAGAGAAGCAACGATTTCATTTCCTCATTGATCAACATGATGGAACTTGTATAACAACATGTATATTGCCTAGATAGCCACTAACCTTGTCGTTTTGAGCTTTTCTTTGCGTTTCCAGATGATTTCTGCGATCAGCACGAGGAATGACAAGATCAACCCCACGCCCAAGACAGCATACACTCCCGCCATACTTGTCAAGCCGATACGCTTTCGGGACAACACTTCAAGAAAAAAAGCAAATGCTTAGATTTACAAAAAAATTTGCGAACAACAGATTTGGGTAAGCAGATATTATACCGCATACAAGTTTGCCTTTTTCGTGAGAAGGGTTCGGCTGGTAAGTAGTGCAGGGTTAGACCTAAGGCATTCGACTTAACATACTGCAAGGCGGAACAACTTCTCTTTGGGTTTACATGCAGAAATTTGGTTCGCGGTGGTGACCAAGTAGAGAGAAAATAAAAGATGGCGAGCGACCAAAAAAGAAAAGGCAATTTGAGCTTTTCTGCTCTCCTTACTGGTGTTGACAACTACCTTACAGCAAAATTATCACAATAAATCAGCTCATGGTAACGCCAAACGAAATGGTCGGCCTTTATTGCCGTGGTTACCGATTGAACGACCTGCCGCAATCTTTGTCTAGTTTGACTATCCCCTATACCTTTCGACGCCTGCTTGACGAATGTACTGGCATCTTCCTAGCGAAGGCAGTTAACATGGTGCTAGGATCTTCCTGGTACTAGCATCTTCTTGCGTCTCAGCTAGGACAACTCTGTTTAGTACCAGGAAGATCCTAGCGCTAGGGACAAGTGCAACCCTTCGCATGCAATCTGAATTTACAGGAAACATATGAATGACACTAGGATGATCGGCCTTCTAGGATCTTCCTCCCTTCATGTGAGCCCCTGACGTTGAAGATGCTTAAATTAGGCATACAGAAAGGAGGATTTAATCATGTATTTCATCAAGCTTTGCGTTTGAAACATATTATCAAATCGATTGATAACGTGATACAGAAAGTTCAAGATGGACGCCGTGGAGAAAACGGCAAACATATGGGCATAAAGCATGTTTTTAATTTATAACTCTCATCAGAATTGACATGATTTTCCAAGGCGTAATTTTTCAGGATTCAAGAACATAAAAA